ATAACCCATAATGAGCCCAATATTTTATAAACAGTACCTTCAAAAAAAAGCATAAAGTAATAAAGTTTAGTGATTTAAAGTGAAGAGCATTGGTTTGTGATTTATACTTGATACAAAATGATTGAGGATATTTAATTTAAGGTTACTAAACAATGGAAGATAATAGTAAAAACTTTTTATAGCGATAAAGAAATAACTGATTGAGAGAGGTAGGACTTGCTGATGCCAGACAAACAATTTAATAGATCAACAAGAGCATGTAATTTGATAATTTTGGATAGAATGTAAAGGATATTAATCTTTAGAAAAATATTCTTGAAAGTATATTATTTTAAACGTTTTGATTAGATGTTTTTTTAAAAACTATTGGTTAATAAGTAGTTTATAGGGTATTATATTAGTATACATATTTAGGTTTTTGTAGTATGTTTGAAAAAAGAAATTTATATTAGATAAAAGAGTTATAATTTTTACTATTACTATGTATATATATTTTTTATTTTTTATTTTTTTTTGTAAATCGTGGTACAACCCTCTCTCAACTCTTTAACTCGGAAACACGAACCTTGACAAGCAAGGCCGCTGCGCGAAGAAATTAAGTTAAGCGCGGTACTTCCACGGACGTGGTGGGAGTCGAACTCCGAACCTTTCGCTTACAAAGCGAGCGCTCTTACCAATACACCACTACCGCTTCAAATATTTAGAATTTATATTTAGAAAATTGTTTTGCTGATTTAATAGTTTTATAGTGCTAATTGGTCATATGTTTCAATGTTATCAAAGTTACATATGTTGGATAACAAAATAGGTTTCGATACTACAAACAAGGAAGCGAATTAATTCACGTTTAAAGAAAAAGTTTAAAGAAAAAAAGTTTAAAGAAAAAAATTCATCCAATTCATTTATATCATCAGTATATATTATCATGCTACCAGATAATTTTTTTCTTTTTCTTACCCACCCTTTTTTATTAAATAATTAGATTTATTTTGGCCTTATTTCCAAATATTTTAAAGAATCGATAATAAATAGTTCATTTTCTTGATTTGATAAGTAGTTCCTAATAGTCGTAAACTTATTGCTTGTTATTTATTGATTTTTAAACGAATCATATGCCTTTAATTTTAGGGTTGTCAATCTTACATCAGTTATTTACAACCCTGGGGAAAGATCTTTGTTATAATCTTATTTTATAATTGAAATCTTTATTATTTTGAACATTTTTAATTTTCTATTTCGTAACACTTTAAAAATAGTCAAGGGATCATCCATAAATTACGAATGCTCGAAAAAGAAGAGGGATCTGCAAATGCCAAATATGAGATGGGGGGGGGGGGGGAAGAGAGGACAGTAGATAAATTATAAAAGTTTGGAGACACTAAAAAATATATTATAAAATATTGGGTTGGTAGGTTAAAAGCGTAGGTACTTTCAGGGAGGTATAGGGTTTTCAAAAAAGCGAATGGCAAAATGCGGGAGAGGGGTTAAAAAAAAACGCACGTACTTTATAGACGACCCCTAACTGCAATTGCCTCAACTGCAACGGTCTCAACTTTCGGGGTTTGTTCAGATCTTAAGTTCCTTACTAAGGGATCGTCCATAAATTACGTCACGCATTTTTGACAGATTTTGACCCCCCTCCCCCTCGTCACAAAATCGTAACACTTAAGAAGCAAGTTTTGTTTGAGTCGTCACAAAACTACTAACCCCCTTCCCCTTATAGCGTGACGTAATTTATGGACGACCCCTAAGGTACTAGTTTTTAGAAATTAAATATTTAGTTATGACATTAGATTGACTATTATCACGACTAAACGCTGTTAAAACTCTCAGTTAATGTGTATACATTTTCCTACTTGTTCTCCAAGGCACTTTTTAAGGAGTACTATACTAAATCCGCCATTAATACAACTTCTTCTTATGGGTGTCCATAATATATATAAGCAGTAAAACCACTGGTTACGCTTCCCCGTTTCCTATTGCACGTTAATTTTATGACATCCAACGTTTCTTTAGGTTCTTTGAAAGTTTAACTTTTCAATCCTTAGTATCCGCCCTTAACGTACGCATTGTTAAGGCCTTTATAATGTATGTTAAGGGCTAATAAAAAAGGCTATTTTTTGTGTGATATAATTCCGTTGTGATAAAAATTTCAATTTAGTTCAATTATATAAATTAAGGAAATAAGTTTATATAAAAACTATTAATTATATTTTTTAACAACAACAAAATCTTAGATAAATTTTATTTATCTCTAAGTATTATATAATTTAAAAGGTTGTTTCATACTGATTGAACATTTGATTTAATTATCAATTAAATTTCTGAAATTCATCAATATAAACAATGTTATAAACATATATTAATTAAAAATAGAGTTTACTTACTTTATACAATCATAGTTTTTAAATCTTAAAGTTTTTAAACTTTAAAAATATGTAAAATCTAGTTTCAGCTTCTGTCACGTAAGAACATAATACTGTGCTTTTAATGATCAAATTGTTTTATTAAAGCATTTTTTAAAATCATCTAGGGAAAAAAAATTAAACAAAATAATAAATTTGAATCAAGAAAATTTAGGAATGAACTTCCTTCAGTGTTTTCATTAAATGTCAAATTATATTTAAAAAAATAATACTAAAAAAGGGCACCTTTTAGACAATGAAAACTAAAAAATAGTTAAGAAATTTTAATAAAAGAAGAAGAGAAAATAGTACTAACAAAGTCAGCTATTAAATTAACCCTCACTTTAATGTCATTAAAGTTAAAATAAATAAAATTAAGTAAATTAAAAAAATCAAGAATCTTGAACAATATAAGTTATAAAAACTAACATAAATATAAAATCATATATATATACTAATAAATATCAATAAGCATTGTCTGACTGTACATTACCAGCTACTAATGCAATTTGGTATCTAAATTAGTAAAACCGAACATTATTTAAGTATTTTTCACAAGAATATAATTGTCGTCATATAGTTGTTCCAATATTTACAACATTATAGGGTTGAAATATTGGAACAACTAATACAACAGATATATTTTAGATTTAATATATGTAAAAAAAAACAAGTATCCTTTTAACTTAATTAATTTTTAGTTTAATATGAATTAACAAATTAACTTAAACTTCATGTATATTTCATGTATGTATTTTAATGTGCTTCTAAAATATCTCTCGTTTTTTTTTAATTCCTGAAGTATAATAAACCTTTACATAGCTTATGCTTATCTAACATTGCACGTTGCTATCTCTCTATTTTTATATATATATATATATATATATATATATATATATATATATATATATATATATATATATATATATATATATATATATATATATATTAAAAATATAAAAACATCAATTAATAATAATTTATTTGAAATTTTTGCTGGATTGTAGTTACCAGCACCATCAGCTATAATATTGTAATTAAAAATTACAATTATATATATTTATGAGTATATATATATATATATATATATATATATATATATATATATATATATATATTTGTGAGTATATATATATATATATATATATATATATATATATATATATATATATATATATATATATATATATATATATATATATATATATATATATAGATATATATAAATATATATATATATATATATATATATATATATATATATATATATATATATATATATATATATATATATATTAGTTATTATAAGACTTGTTATAATTTTATTACATTTTTATATCCCTAATATATAACATAATTGATTAAAATGCACCAGAACAAAATTCAAGAAAAAACTAAGCTTTTAACAAGTAAAACGAGTTAAAAATACATTTTTACAGAAAAATTAAATTTAAGCAACAACCAAAAGAAGGTCAAAGTATAAAGATAGTAATAGTATAATAAAGAAAATTTTTTTAAAATTTGTACAGTTATAAATTCTTAAAATTTATTTAAAAAAAATAAACATATCACTCAATGTTACAAATAAAAGTTTTAGCCAAAGTACAAATTAAAACTTTAAAAATAATTAGTTAACGTATTTATTTATTTACTAATACAAAAAAGGCATTTATTTATTGAATTAGATCAGTAATATGGTTGCAACATTAATTTTTGCAAAAATAAACTAAAAATATTCATCTTCTAAACTTAGCGCACCTAAACTTAACGCTCGTAAACGACCGTGAGCAAAGACCATCATCTCTATATAGACCTGCAGTATTAAAAATAAATATATATATTCACATTAAAAAGTTTTGTTCAGAAATGTCAGGAAAAACGTTTTTTTTAAAAAGTCTCAAAACATAAAAATTGAAGTTAAATTACGTCATATTAGCTTATACGTCGCTAATTTTTTTCATAAAATGAGCGTTTTTAAACGACATTAATACAAAGTAAGGCAATTTGGGGCAGCAAACTACTTTGGCTTCTTTACGAACTATACTTGGCTTCGCGAAGTAAGTCAAAATGTAAAAAGTCCTAGCTCCATAAAAATCAGTATAAATTCGTTAAAATTGCATTTTTTACAACATGTAAAAATAAATTTTCAAATATTTTTACAAATTAAGATAAAATTATCTATTGTCTTTCTATATGATGAAAATTTAAATTAAAGGCTTTTTGTTTAGCAAAAAAAATTAAGCTTTAATAATGATAAAATTCGGTTTTAAACATAAATTAACGTTTAAATCTATTATTTCAGTACTTATTTTTTATACTGTTAAAATTATTCCAGTACTAATTTTTTATACCGTTAAAAGAAGCTGTAGAAAATAGTTAGCTAATAACATTATTTAAATTACGCATCTCGAAAAACTGTACTTTTGCCAAATTTTAAATGTTTCTAAATCACTATGCATTGGAATTACATTTAAACATATAAATTTATTATAACAAGCTAACTGATAAATGATTTTAATATCACGATTGTTTTTACTTGTTTTATAATTGTTAGGTTAAAATGAACAACTTTACATTAGAATAAAAACAATTAAATAATTACAATACAAAAATAATCAACTAGGTTAAAATTTACACTTTAATTTACTAATTACTTATAAATCTTAAGTCTTTCGTTCTAAAGTGTGTGACTATATGAAGCACAGTGTTTAAAGCACTGGAAACTAAGTTTAAAGTCATTATGTAGCAATGTGAACACTATGAACATGAAACATTGTAATCTTAAATCACAGCAATTATTTAAAAATTACTACAAGCTTTTCGGATAAGGAACTACAATAAATGATCTAGAACTATGTTGTGCAACGTAATCGCTGACGGATCCAAGAAATGTTCGTCGTAACTTATTTAATCCACGTGATCCCATTAAAATTAATGTCACATCGTTTTGTTCAGCAATCTCACAAATACCTTCACCTGGAGAACCACTATGTAAAACCGCTCTATGCTTAAGTTTATTTTGGTCACAAATTGTTTGGAAGCGGAATAGTAACTCTTTTCGTTTTTTTATTTTTTTTTCTACTCTGATTCGCCATTTAATCCACTGCTCATTGTTGTCATCTATAAAATAAGGTTTGATATATGTCATCATTCAAAAAGGATACAATTATAATTGAATATAAATAATTAATAATTTATAATAACCTAACATAAATTTTATTATAGATAATATTAATATTACACATTATATATAATATTAATTATATTTATAAAATAAAACTAAATAATATTTATATGTAATAATATATTATTATTTATTATATACTAGTAATATTACATTTTGTTTAGTTTAGCCTTAAATAGCATACATTAAAAAAGAACAACTTTACATTTTTCATTTATGTTATTAATTTATTTATTAACATTATTAATATTATTAATATTTTTTAATTATTTTTATAACAATTTTTTATAAAAACTATTTAATAAGAATGATTAATACACGGTTTTTGCCAGTATCTAGTAATAAAAGTGGAGTTTCAAGATACCCGGCATGTTCTCCCAGATTTTTGTTGCCAGTAATTAAAAAGAACATTTAATTACTAACAAATGTAACAATAATGCTTCATTTTTATTTCTCTATAAACTGCATTAAACAAAATAAAACTGAATTTAATCACAAGTAATGTAAAACTAATTTTTAAATTAAAATCAAATTAAATAAGAAAAATAGTTATTTAATCAGTTCAATAAAAAAATTAAACGAATAATAAATTGAGAAAGAATGATAAAAGTTTAAACAAATTTGAAAAACATTGAAAAAGTTTTACCGCTGAAATTGTAAAATTCTTGAATATATTTAATAAATATAATCTTTATTGAAAAAAATATTGAGGTGAGTTTGCAAAAAAAAAATTATATTATTATAATATATTTTGAAGAAAATTATTAACAAGGGATGGAATGTTTTCAAATAACATTAAGGGTAAAGTTAGCACTGGGTTTAATTGCGTCATTACGTCATTGCTTAAACACAATATCATTTTTGCGTATCTAGTGTAAAAATTAAAAGTTTAATAAAAATAATTGTTTTTATGCAGACTAAGTATGATCGGATGGTTTGGTTTGTTTAAAATTCGTTTGAGTGCGTAATTAACTTTCAAAATTTTGACAAATTATAAAATATATATAATGAAAAATAGTTTGATAATAGTTTAAAGGATAGACCTTTTCATAAATATCTGCGACGGAGAAAGGAGATTCTTCAAAGCGAGGCAGTGTTTGTAACAATCAAAACAAACTTTGCGTTTACATATAATTTCGTAGGGTTTAAACTTAACCTAACTACCTTTTAACTAACCTAAGTCTACCTTTTAAGGCTATAATACTAAAACTTACTGTGTATATATATATATATATATATATATATATAATATATATATATATATATATATATATATATATATATATATATATATATATATATATATATATATATAATATATATATAAATATATATATATAAATATATATATATATATATATATATATATATATATATATATATATATATATATATATATATATATATATATATATATATATATATATATATATATAGACACACACACAGTAAGTATTAGTATTGTAGCCTTAAAAGAGTAAAGAATTGTAGACTTAGGTTAGCCCTCTATTTCTGGATTCTTTCCTTTTCTAAATAGGCAGTTATGTAATTTTTTAAAAATAGTTTTTAAAATTTAATTATTAATTAATATATATTCTATTTAATGATGCTATGTGATAGTCAAGAAAGTAAAAGCTAAACTGCACTTTTAGAAATGATTTTAAAAGTTTAACGTCTGCCAGATGTTTATCTTTTGAATCATAAGCTATGTGATGCAGTGATGAATAAAGATTTTATAAATCAAGCAACAAAATTTGAAGGTATTATTTTATTACTTACTTAGCATTGGTCTCAATTACTCATCTTAAATAAAACTAATAAAAATGTTGCCTTGGCTATTCTGTTCATTAATTAGACATTTACTACTTGTATAACTTATTTAACGAAGTGCACCAACGAGAAGGTGAGCCATAGGACTTTGCACTCCGTTTGTAAATTATCATGTTGTTGCCTAAGATTAGCTCTCCATTTCTGGATTCTTTTCTTTTTCTTAATTGGCAGTTATGTAATTTTTTTTAATAGATTTTTTGTTTTTTTGTTTTAATTTTATTTTTAAATTATTATTTTTTTTTTATTAAATTTTATATTTATTGCATTTTTTTGTATTTTTGTCTTTTTCTCTTTGTTTTTTAAATTCTTCACAAAATAGCTCCAAAGATACAGGTAGAATGCAACACCTTTATGTTTCTTCTCTTTAATTTACATATCAGCACTATTTTACTTGCTAAAATAATTTGCTAAAATTTATACAATGATCTGACAAATCATATTTTTTTATATATATATTTAGTATATATACTATTTTCACCATGTACCAACTATAATATTTGGCCTTTATAATATTTGAATTTTATAAAATTCTATATTATTCTCTCCACAAGGATTCTTTAGTTTGCAATTTGTTGACTTAAAACTGTTTTGTTCAATAGTAAGTTTTTCTCTACCCTTAACCAAATAATGGTAAAACAATATTAACACTAAGTGGTCTATAGTATTCTGCTATTGTAAAGCCACAGTCAGTTTTACCTTGATTAACGTAATAAACATAAATCCTCCCCCAGGTGTATTTCCTACTAAAACTTTAACTATTGTATGATTTTTATTATCTAATTACATAATTTTGTGCATAAATAATTAAGATAGTTTATTAACTTTGTACTCTACACAATCAATGATACATTTTATAGTAGGGAGCTTTTCCTGCATTTATTAGGAAATTTTCTTCCTAACTCACTCCATACAAGGCCATATGCAGATGTCTTATACATAAAATATATCCATGTATTTACAGTATTTGAAACTGTTCTTTCTGAAATATTGTATAAAAATAAATAAAAACAAAGATCAAAGTTCCCGTATAAACAAGTTAATGTTAAAATAAATAAATATATTTATGCATCAAGCGGCTTTAATACTCTTGGTCGTCCGGTAGATAAAGTGTTTTTGTTTATTGGTTGTTATAAAAAATTGTTTTTTCCATTTTTTTCCAGGAACTAAAAATGCTTAAACAGCTTGGTTATTGATGGAAATCCAGTATAAACTATACTGGATAAATGAATCTACTAATTTACATTCATCAACATTTACTTTAAAGTCTACTTCCTCTAGTGGCGCTGACAATAATGTCGATAAAGAGATATCTACTTCATTTTGTGGCGATGAAAATTGTGCTGATGCAGACTAATCGTCATCGACATTTTTAAACAAACATTGTCTGAAACTTTGTGGTTTTCTTGATGTATCTGACACTGAAAATTTATTTCATGAGTGCAATATTGTCCTAAAAACTTTTATAAGTTTTATTTGTGTACCAAATGGGGTTTTATGGACCATTTCTTGTAAGAAATGCTTTTGACATAATCAAGTAGATTTGTGGTTTTTAAATTATCTTTCTTTTCTTGTCTTTTTATTAAGTTACACCAAATATTTCTTTTTACAGTTAAAAATGTGAAAAATATAATATTTGTTGGAACTCTAATTCCATTTACATTATCTATCATAGCTATTTGAAAAACATTTATAAAAAGCACATTGCAACCCAGACAATATCGCCATTTTTAAACATCGTCGATTTGTTTTCATTGTTACAAACACTGCCTCGTTTTCACGGAATGCTTTATGAAAAGGTCTATTATCTTATATTATGTCTCATTCTCGGAGCCACATCGTGGATGTGGCTCCGAGAATGAGACATAATATAAGAAAGGGGAGGGGGGGGGGTTGGGTTGCCAAAATTCTATATTTCTTGTTTAACCGGTAATTCTTAATTAATTTTTTGAGAAAAGTAAAACAATTCAGTTCAATCAAAAAACAATTCAGTTTTTGCTAATTTTTTATGGTTGACCTTCTACTTCTATTTTAAAAATTTAAAGATATAAATAAAAGTCTGCAAAAGTTTCTTTGCGTATAAAGTTACGCAACTTTTCTTTCAAATTTATGTTACTCAAATTTTGATTGGATAAATTTGATTTTTAATCGTTGCGTTTTAGAAAAAAAAAGTTCTTTATTTTAGGGATACAATGTAGGTCATTGTCGCGGAGGTCTATTCTGTTTAAATACATAATTGTTGTTCTAGATGTTCTACATGGAAACCTAGATATGTTCCACATGGAAAGTTCCCGCAGCAATCTCTATTGCTTATGATAACTTTTATAGTTATTTTCTATTTTCAATAGTAAATAACAAACTGTATGAATTATTTTCATATATAATGCTTAATTTTTTTTTGTTACTTATAAATCAGAAGGTATATTATTGATAAATTAAACAGAAAAAGATTTCTACTTTTCTACTTTTCTTATATTCAATGATAATAATAATTTCATCTATTTTTAACGATGCCATTTTTTGTAATATATTCACTTTTATTAAAATCTAAGTAGAAGGCTCAATAATTAAAACGAAAAAAAATGATTATGATTTTCAGAATCAGCATGAAAAACTAATTAAGAAAAATTGGTTAAACTATAAAAATTCTAAAAAAAATATATTTATGGACCCCCCCCCCCTAATAATATTAAAGTAATAGTTCATTTGAAAATATTTTCTTAAAAGTTAATTATGTTTCCATGTATGTCCGTAAAATAAAAATTAATATATATTAATTTTTTAATTTTTAAGCTCCCGCCATAATATATATTGGATGTTATAATAATGGAAATATAAATAATGAAATAAGATCACCTCAATACCAAAAAATACATTTTTGAAAATAAGAGAAAAAATACGTTAATAATTATTTTTAATATTTACAAAGTAAATTAATAAAAGTGCATTGTTATTTAGGTTAAAAATTATTTTATCTAATATTTTGAAAGAAAAACTTATAACAAAAGAAATTAAAATACACGTGGTCTAGACGATTATTTAAAAAAAGTTGTGCAAATAAAATACCATTTTGTTTTTAATTTTTTTACAAACACATTTTAGAACTTTA